AGTCCATCATCCAAAATTCAGAGAGAGAGTGAGATAGAACCACATATGGCTGGTTGGCAGTGGGTAAGGAGGTTGGGTCGGGAGGGTGTTTATGTTTGATGAGACTTTATTATTTATTTATATTTCAAAAGTATAGGATACAATGTAAATTGTGAGTTTATATCCGTTTTGGTTATTTTATCTTAGGGTAAATTAATAATTCAATAAAGAGCTTGTTTAGTAGCACTTTAAATTAGGGCATGTTTACAAAAGGAGAATGAGAATGGAAGGAAAAGGAGTGATTTTCAGTTCAGGTCAGTCCCTTGTTTACCAACACTCTAGGAATCAAAGACAGCATGGACCCCACATAAAATTAATAATGTGATTGATTTTGGAGGAATGAGATTACTGATGAGGGATGTGGTATTGGAGAAGTGTGAACAGGAATCAACTTTTCATACCAAAACTACTCTCATATTTTAAGATAGCACTAAAATCCACCCTCTCTCTCACATCATCTGCAGGCCCTCCCTCCCTCTCTCTCTCTCTCTCATGGCCATATTCTTCTTCTATTGCAAATCCTTTTTTTTTTCTTTTTTTTTTATTGAATGTTGCATGCAACAAAATATTATATTGAATTTTTACCTTCTATCTATAATTTTATGTATTTAGACATATTGAAAATAAATAATTAAACCTATAAAATTTGATTTATTTTTTATAAATATGAAATTAAATTCATTAGAAAAATTATGTTGCTAGTTGAACAAAATAAATTTGTTTTGTGTAAGGGAATTTTGGTAATCAAATTGGTTTTGATTTCAATTATTGACATTTGTTAATTCCGGATTACTCCGATTCTTGCTTATCCCAATTTTTGATTAGTAAACATACCCTTAACAAATATAAAGCGAATGCCAAATTTATGAATTGATAATATGTGCGAAATGACAACACCATATGCGACCGAGGAAATAAAACTTAATTCGTGTTGAGATTTACGAGTCCATGCCTATGGAAATTGTTGGTATATTGTCCCACATTAAAAAGTTAAGGGACTTTTCAGAAAAATAAAAATAAAAAAAGTTAAGGGACTTAGCATGAGTTTATAAAGAGTTGGGTTACTCCCCCATTGCCAAATGGTTTTGGAGTGGAAGCTCAGGGGGTCCGTTTGTTATCCTACTTGCATCCAATTTTATAAACTCAAAAATAAATTTTAAGTCCAAAACCACAAAAACTTGTTTGGTAGGCCCATTTTTAAAAACCTAAACCCAAAAAAATTTAAAAACACCCCCTTTAATGAAAACAAAAAAGGTGAGATTTTACTCTCCCTCTCTCTCTCTCTCTCTCTCTCTCTCTCTCTCTCTCTCTCTCTCTATAACCATCAATTGAGTCAACGACGTAATCTCCTCTCACTCTAACCATTAACTGAGTCAACGACAGAAGAGGCTCCATCGAACTCATCCCCGGATTAGATAGGCGATTGAGACCATTCTGATGAAAGACAACGATGTCAATGGCCCAGATTTCATCGTCGGTGACGGCGGCTTTGGCCCAAATCTCGTCGATGATGATGGCTTTGGCTAGATCTAGTCGGTGATAGCAGCAACCCTAATTTTTGTTGGTTTATCAGATAAAGAGAGAGGTAGAGATAGAGGTCCTCTAACAGGACCCGTCCCGAATTTCCCGGAACCCGAGACGAACCCCGCGGAGACCCCGGCATTACACCCACGCCGGGTTCACTCCTTAAAACTATGTCCTCGTTTACTAGAGAGGATTAAAGGCACGAGACTTTCTGCCGAAATTTCGGCAGAGTCTCCCCTGTAAATTTAACATTTCCCAAAATTTCCACTGCATAAAACACATTTTATAACCCAACCGGCAGCACGCACAATATAATCTCATGCAATTTACACAAATGGCCTCCGGCCTTCAAATGATTCTAGCAGAACTGCCCACAAAGTTTTTAAAATAACTTAATGTATCAAACATGCATATAACAAATTCAAGATCTATTTATGCACAACCTTCACTCACTCAGTCCACAGGACAAGCCTCAATTCAACTAAGTTTCAGGATCAACCACGAGGTCCGAACCAATCTCAATAAGACCACCTAAGTGTGGTCTAATCTGTGGCTGCACCTAGTAACTGC